GGCACAAATACAGATCTTTTCCTATCAGTCGGCCAGATAGTTGTCTTCCAAATTTCTTGGCAGAGATGAGTGAGTGCCTCCTGTGCCATCTCACTTTCTTGAATGATTTCAATTTTTATTCCATCAATTCCTGGTGCCTTGTTCTTTGCCAATTCCTTCAATGCAACTTGGACTTCCTCCTTCAGTATCATTGGCTCTTGGTCATATGCAAACACTTGAAATGGTTGAACATTAACCATTTCATTTTGGTACAGTGACTCTGTATATTCCTTCCATCTTCTCTTGATGCTTTCTGCATCATTCAATAACTTGCCCAGTGAATCTTTCAATAACGAAAGTCGAGGCTTGGATTTTTTCTTCAGTTCCCCCAGCTTGAGAAATGCTGAGCGTGTTCTTCCTTTCTGGTTTTCAGATTCCAGACCTTTGCACATTTTGTTGTAATATTTGGCTTTGTCTTCTTGAGCTGATCTTTGAAATTTTCTGTTCATCTCTTGGACCTCCTCATTTCTTCCATTTGATTTAGCATCTCTACGCTGGAGAGCAAGTTTCAGGGTCTCTTCTGACATCCATTTTGACCTTCTCCTTCTTTCTTGTCTTCTCAATGACTTTTTGGTTTCTACCTGTATAGTGTTCTTGATGTCATCCCACAACTCTTCTGATCTTCAATCTTTAGTGTTTAATGTATCAAATCTGTTCTTCAGATGATCTCTAAATTCAGGTGGAATATATTCAAGGCCATATTTTGGCTCTCGTGGACTTGTTTTCATTTTCTTCAGCTTCAATTTGAATTTGCAAATGAATAATTGATAGTCTGTTCCAGAGTCTGCCCCTGGCCTTGTTTTCACTGATGATATGGAGCTTTTCCATCGTCTCTTTCTGCAGATATAGTCAATTTGATTTCTATGTATTCCATCTGGTGAGGTCCATGTGTATAGTCTCTTATGCTGTCTAAAGAAGGTATTTGAAACGAACAAATCATTGGTTCTGCAGAATTCTATCATGTGTTCTCCAGCATCATTTCTATCACCAAGGCCATATTTTCCAACCACTGATCCTTCCTCTTTGCTCCCAACCTTTGCATTCCAATCACCAGTAATGATCAATATATCTTGATTGCATGTTTGATCAGTTTCAGATTGAAGACGTTGATAGAATTCTACTTCATCCTCACTGGCTTTAGCAGTTGGTGCAAAAATTTGAATAATAGTGGCATTAACTGGGCTTCCCTGTAGGCGCATGGATATTATCCTATCACAGACAGTGTTGTACCTCATGACTGATCTAGGTATGTTCTTTTTGACAATGAATGCAACACCATTCCGCTTCGATTTGTCATTACCGGCATAGTAAACCATGTGGATGACAGATGCAAAATGGCCAATACCAGTCCATTTCAGCTCACTAATGCCTAAGATATCGATGTTTATGTGTTTCATTTCATTTTTGACAACTTATTCAGATTCATACTTTGTACATTCCATGTTCAGATTTTCAATGGATGTTTACAGCTGTCCCTCTTCATTTTGAGTTGTGTCCCATCAGCAAGCAAGTGAAGGTCCCGCGGGCTTTTCTCCCACAGGCTTTACTCCATTCGCATCATCACGGTCAACTCTGCTTTGAGGAGGCAGCTCTTCCCCAGTCACATTTTGAGTGCCCTCCAACCTGAGGGGATTGTTTTCTGGCACTATATCTGACAGTGTTTCTCTGCTATTCATAAGGTTTTCAGTGACTAAATATTCGGAAGTAGTTCCTCTCTCTTTCTTCCTAGTCTGTCTTTGTCTGGAAGCTCATCTGTCCACCATGGGTGACCCTGCTGGTATTTAAAATACTGGTGGCATAGCTTTCAGAATCACAACAACTAACAAGCCACCACAGTACGACAAACTGACAGAGGAGTGGTAGCCGTCTGGTTTAAGTGAACACTAAAAATTTTTAAATGACACTAAACCCCACAAAAAACACTCACCATAGAAAATTATGTGGAACAAAAAAGAAAATCCAGCAGTACCATAAAAAAATGATAGCAACCAATTAAGACATATTGATAATTACACAGAATGTAAGTGGATTAAATGTGTCAGTCAAATGACATAGAGAGCAGAATGGATAAAACAGGATCCTCTAATATGCTGTCTACAAGAGACATCAATCAAAAAGATGGAGACAGCCTAAATGCCTATCAACAGACAGTGGTTAGGAAGGCTGTAGTACACATATACAATGGAACGCTACAAAACACTGAAGGATGATGATGAATCTGTGAAACACCTCACAATATGTTAATAAAGGGAGGACACATTATGCTGAGTGAAACTGATCAATCACAAAAGTGCAAACATTGTATGGGATGAATGTTGTGAAAAATGAAAATAAATTTTTTCTTGATAAAAGAAACACTCTATGATTATTACATGGGGTAGGAAATGATGGGGGAAGAGAAAATTATTCTTGGGGTACAGGTACACAAATATTAACATGGGTGACAGGACAGGCAATATATATCAAGAGTGATACTGGTTAAGGAAAGATGAAGATAGCAGTAAATACTGTTAATTGTTGGTAAACAGAGGTGAGACTGCAAAAACTGTAATGAAGCAAAGTATATGATTTGTTGAATGGAAAACTGATGGTCTGATATATAAACCTTCACTCAATTCACAATGAAAAGCAGGAGATAAACAAAAAGGAAAGGTCTATGCAAGAACAAATTTCTGGGGTAGCAGGAGTTTGAGGAGGTACTTAATGTTTTCATAAACATGTAGCAGCCTGTTTTTCCCTAGGACCAACTCTAAAACCATATGAGGAGCTGTTAGGATCACAAAGCTTGACCAAGCTGCTTCATCTATAGATGGCACTATCAAGGAGTTCTAATATGGCACTATGGGCTAAGTCAGCAGTTCAAACTCACCAGTCACTCCTCAGACACCCTATACAGGGTTGCTAGAGTCGTTATGAGTCGGAACCAACTGGACGACACTTTAACAACAACATTAAGGTGTACATGTAGTGATCCTGTTGGGAAAGAAACCACTCTTGAAGGACGTAAAAACAGTTACCTTATTAAATACTTGAACTCCAACTATAGGAGACCAATGAAGGATATCAATAAAGGCAATTAACTATTAGCAAAATGATCAAGGCAGCAGCGTGGACAGAATGGATTGAAATGGTAAACTTAAAAACAGAGAGACTAGTTGTTAATGTGTTCTAAAAAGAAGAACGCAGGTTTTCAAATCCACTGGTTCTACAATAGCTCATCCAGGAAAAAAAAAAAGAAAGAAGTGTGGCCTAACACATGGGAGAAAAGTATCCAAGATTATGAATTATGACTTGGATATAATTTGTGAAAAACAGAAAAGGATCATGATTAAACTCCTAGAGTATGGGGGGTTAAACACATTCTTTCATGGGAGAAAAAAAGTATACCAACTTCTTTTTCATCCTATCTCTTAACACCAATGAAACCATTCAAAGAACTCATTGGAGCTATGAAAAAGGAAAGCTAATGTTGTTAGATGAGACTATCATAAAACAATCAAAGGTAAGAAATAGCTGTGTTGAAAGTATACCTAAGTTGAGACATTTGAGAGGTGCCTCAAAAAAGAACGACAACAACAAAAAAAAGTTTTACGTGGTCAAGTAAATTTGAGATCGTCCACATACAGTATTCTGCATATCCTATGTTGTTGTTGCTGTTGTTGTTAAGAGCCATCGAGTTCCGACTCATAGCAACCCTGTATAGTTTCCAATGAGCAGCTTGTGGGTTTGAGCCACCAACCTAACAGTTAGCAGCCCAGTTCTTATCCTACAGCGCCACACCTAGACTCTGTGTATCTTATATTCTCTACATAATATGGGAAACAATGAACACAAGAGTTAAGAACAGATCTAGAGTCCCACTTGTGGTTGTTGTTATGTGCCGTGGAGTAGGTTCCGACCCACAGCAACCCTGTACAGGGTTTCCAAGGCTGTAAAACTTTACACGAGCAGAATGCCTCATCTTTCTCCCACAGAGCGGCTGGTAGTTTCGAACCGCTGGCCCTAAGGATCATAGCCCAATTTGTAACCACTACGCTACCAGAGCTCCTTCAAATCCAGGGTCTACCACTTAGTGTGAAACCTTGTAGAGAAAGCTCTCTGTGAATAGGCTCCCTCACCGTTAAATAATGATAACATAATTATAAAGAACAGTACATTACAGGGTTTAAGAAACACATGGCTAAGAAACCCATTTACGTGTGTTTAACCCAACACTTTTCTTTGAAAGTATATTCATAAAACTTGTTTTCATCCATCCAGTAGAAATGGTCTAAAGAGAATACTTTAGAAAATGTTGGACTATGGGTAGACAAGTCCATCTTTTTAACTACAATATATACAGATGCCTTGGTGACTGGGAAATTTATTAGAGGATGTTGATATACAACCGACTAAGAAATCTCAGCACCATTCCAGAATACTTCTGATGCAAAAGATGCATGAAGAGTGAATACTGTTGTGAGGGTAAAACAGGGCTGAAATACAAACTCCAATGTTTATAAAGTTTATAAAGTTTTCATTATAGATTCTGTATCGAACATAAAAGCAGTATATTTACTCACTGATGCTAAAATGACTATAAGGTAGCCATACCCGTGGGAACACTACCTTTTTTTTTTTTTTTTAATTATAAGACTTAAGCCTAAATATCACAGCATACTATTAACTTAACTGAACCAGAGGCATGGAAAGCAAAGAAATAACACAGTGCTGTTCTTACAAACCCAAACACACATAATGATACATTTTAAACAAATATTCATGATAACTGGATTTGAATGTGGAAACCATTACATAACTTACATAACTGCATTTTGTTCTGTTTTTTCTTAAAATTATATTTTAAGAACAGATTTATAATCATAACAAAATTATGGGATGGGTATTTACTTTTTAAAAGGATAATTACATTGATAAGAACTTTTATTTTATTTCCTGGTAAGCAATTATGATTTCTGTACCTATGTTCTTTGTGTTCCAATAGCTGGCAGTCTCTACATGTCAGTCTATCACAAGTTTCACAGAAAAGTTTCAACTGTTCTTGTTTGTGTACGGGACAGAAAACAGGGCGCTGACCAGATGCTCCAACAGACTCTGTAGCAAAATAAACCAAGTAGTTTTAAATGAAATATAAAATGTTGTCTAATTTTGTCAATTTTTATTAATGTTGGTAGCCAACATTTATAAAGAACAAATATAAAATGGTATAGAGGCAAAAGAAGGAGGTTAATAGTAATAATTAAAACTGCTTCTTATCTTACCTGAGACATCTTCTTTTTTCCTGATCAGGTGATCTTTAGTGAATTTTACTCTTTGATGTGCTTCTATACATGTCTTACACAGCCATTCTCCACATTCTACACAAAAGCCAACTGCACTAGCATTATCTTCACAACTAGTACATACCTAAAATAAAGAAGAAATATATACTATCCACATTAAATTTACACAAAAAGAGAAGTTTAAAACAAATCTCATTTAAGCCAGTTTGGAGGCCCAGAATAGAGCTATGCATTTCTAAGCAAGTAAGTAGTTCAACATGAATTAAGGAACAGATTTACTGTTAGGCAAATCGCCAAACCTGTTTTCCTTATTTTCACATTGCTATACCAAGATAGGAATAGAAAGAAAAATTGAGAAGCATACCTGTTCTGATTTCTCATCAGAACTGCTAGGAGCTTCAGACGTATCTTTCACAAAATAATTATCCACAAGGTCTATCTGTCTGCATTCCTGGCGGCATACTGGGCACCGTAATACACCAACTATAATACAAAATGACAACATTAAGAATATTCTTCAGGAATCATTAAGGAAGTCGAGCATGATGTCCACATGGAAATGACTCATTCATCTGTCACAGACAAGACCAAAGAAATTACATCAAGAGCTGAATAAAATAACTTATTTAGTTATACCATAGAGAAAACTGATGCTCTATCTGTTGTTGTTGTTGTGAAGTGCAGCTGAGTCGGTTCTGACTCATATCGACCCTGTGTAGGGTTTCCAAGGCTGTAAATCTTTTTGCAGGAGGCAAAAAGCCTCATCTTTCTCCTACCAAGCCCTATTTAGGAAGAGGAAATAAGCATTAATCAGGAGGAGGGAAAGTCTTCTTTTTTTATTATACTGATATTCTGTGGTTGGCTGAATAAAGACCCCAAAGATATTCAGATCCTAATCCCTGGAACCTAAGGAGCTCTGGTAGCGTAGTGGTTACGAATCGGGCTGTGAACAGCAAGGTCAGCAGTTTGAAACTCCCAGCTGCTCCACGGGAGAAAGATGAGGCTTTCTGCTCCCATAAAGATTTACAAGCTCAGAAACCCTGTACAGGGTCGCTATAAGTCGGAACCGACTCCACAGCACATAACAACAACAATCCCTGGAACCTAGGAATGTTAAAATATAATAAGAACAAAAGTTGTAATTGTGATTAAATAAGGCTCTAATTTAGAGAGATTCTCCTGTGGGACACTAAATGTAATCATAATGATCTTAATGGAGAAAGACAGAGGGATATTAGCCTACAGAAGAGAAGACTCTATGGATATGGAAGAATAGGTTGGAATGACTGATGCATTATGAAGACAGAGGAAGAATACAAGTAAGAAATATAGGTGACCAATAGTCCTGTTTTAGAGCTACAAGATAAGCACTGGACTGGTAACTGCAAGGCTTGTAGCTCGAAACCCACTAGCCACTCCATGGAAACCCTACATGGGGTCGCTATTAGTCATAACAGACTCGATGGCACTCTAAAACAATAGTAGCTAAAATTTTTAAAAGGCAAAAAATAATTTTCTCTTCAGAACCTCCAGAAATGATGCTGGATTTCTAACCTCTAGATCTGTAAGAAAATAAACATGTGTTGTTTTACGCCACCAAGTTTATAAGTAATTTGTTATAACAGCAAGAAGAAACCAATACAAATCTATCTTTGAAATGCTGACTTGGCTCAGAGCTTCTTGAATTCATACTGATGTGGGCAAAAAGAGCATCTGTGCTTTAATCTGCTAGTATTGTAGCACCTAACAAAACAGATAAATTGCTGATAAAACTCGGATGCTAAATTTAAGAACCAAAAAACAGCACCACAATCATGTCAGGCATGGAATTAAGATAACCAAATCAAGTTTTGCCATCAAGTCTTTTCCAACTCAGAGAGACCCTGTATAGAGAGAGTACAAATTAATGCCCTATAGTTTTTGTAAGGCTGTAATCTTTATAGAAGCAAGCTAGTAGATTTCAACTGCAAACCATTAAGTTAGCAGCCAATCACTTACCTAGTGCACTGCCAAAGCTCCTTATAAAATTGAGTATAAAGCATGATACAATTCTCCCCTTTCAACAGGGATTCTGTCACACATCTATGGTCAACTGACTTTTGACAAGAGTGCTAACTCCACTGAACAGAAAAAAATTATCTTTAATACAATGGTGCTGAGAAAATTCCACATGATAATGTATGAGTCAAGATCTAAGCCTAAACCAATTCAGAACAGATCAACGACCTCAACATGCACACCATAAAATTCTTAGAAGAAAATGACAGATTATCAGATACAACAACAAAACACTCTAAACAACAAAAGACAAAATGAAGTACTTTTGCACATCAGAGAACTTTATTAACAAAATGAACAGACAGGCCAAAGACTGGAAGAAAGATCTCAGTAACCATATATTGGATAAATAGCAATAGGTGGCAAGGTTGGTTCAACCTCAAGGTCGATGGCTCAAACTCATCAGTTGCTCCTAGGAAACCCTATACAGTGTGGCAAAAATCCAAAACATACATCCTGGTGTGGAGCTACAGAGTAAGTACAAGACTACAAGGTCAGTTTGAACCACAGGTTGGCTGTTCAAACTCATCAGTAGCTCCTCAGAAACCCTAAACTGGGTCATTATGAATTGGAACCAACTGACAGCACTTAACAAAAACAATCTAAAATATATATCAAACTCATAAAACTTCACAAAAAAGACAAATAGCCAATCAAAAATGCACAAGAAAGGACTTGAATAGACAATACACATCACCACCACCACCACCACACTACCAGAGCTCTTTAGGAGCTTCCTGCTGTTGTTTTTGTTGTTGTTGTTGTTAAGTGCCATCGAGTCTATTCTGACTCATAGTGACCCTGTATAAGGTTTCCAAGGAGTAGCTGCTGAGCTTGAACCACCCACCTTGCAGTCTGATGCATAAGCCCCCAGCCCCACACTTCTTGTTGTTGTTAGGTGCCATCGAGTCAGCACCAACAGAACGAAACACTACCTGATCCTAGGTAAACATCACTACTGTTGCCATGCTTCAGTCTACTGATACTGCCACTTGGCCAAGCCATCTCATTGGGGTCTTCCTCTTTTTCTCTAACCCTCCACCTTACCACACACTGTTGTTGCTGTTATGTGTCGTGGAGTCAGTTCTGACTCATAGCGACCCTATACAGAGTTTCTGAGGCTGTAAATCTTTACGGGAACAGAACAGAACGCCTCATCTTTCTCCTGCGGAACAGCTGGCAGTTTCGAACTGCTGACCTTGCAGTTCACAGCCCGATTCGTAACCACTAAACCACAATGAGATGTATATAACCTCACCTCTATGGAATAGCAAGGATAAAAAAACATAAAACAACAGATGTTGGCAAGATTTTAAAAATTAAGCTCGAACCCTCATCCAATGCTGGTAGTGGTGGTGGTTGTGTGCTACTGAACTAGTTCCAACTCAGAGCAAGTCTGTATAGAGTTTTCGAGGCTGTGAATCTTTATGGGACCAGACAATGCATCATCTTCTTCCATGGACTAACTAGTAGATTCCAACTACTGACTTAGCAATTAGCAGCCCAACTCATAACCCATATACTAACAGGACTCCTTTGCTGGTAGGAATGTAAAATGGTTCAGCTGATGTGAATAAAGCATATACATACAATGGAATATTACATAGCCTTAAAGAGATATGATGTTTGTTTATTGTTGGTCACCAGAGATGGAAGGGAGAGGGAAAGAGAAGCTTCTGTTTGGGTAGTATTGAACTTATGTGGAATATTTTCGGAAAGGATAGCAACGGGGGCACAATATAAAAAAAATAATTAAAGTCACTAAATAATAAATGTGGGAGCTATTGTACTAGTACTGTGCTGCCATGTATGTTCTTAACAATTTTAAAAGGGGAGGGAATTCAGAAATAGCATGCAATTTTGGCAGTAGCTGTTAAGATAAGCACTAGACTGAGAACTACGTGATCAGTGGTTCAAACTCACCAGTCACTCCTTGGAAATTCTATACAGGGTCCCTAATGAGTCCGAACCAAAACCATGGAAAGCATCATACATACATAGACTGGAATATAAGAAGTGTCCCCAAGAATTGTATCATGCACAAACTACAAAATCGTACACAGTAGTTGTTGTTGTTATTAGGTGCCATCGAGTCAGTACCAACCCATAGCAACCTTATGCACAGCAGAACAAAACACTGCCCAATCCTGGGACAACCTCACTACTGTTGCCATGCTTGAGTCCATAGATGCTGCCACTTGGCCAATCCATCTCGTTGGGGGTCTTCCTCTTTTTCTCTGATCCTCCACCTTACCAAACATGATATCCTTCTCCAGTGACTGGTCCCTCCTGACAGTATGTCTGAAGAATGAGAGACTAACTTTACCCATCTCGGCCTCCAAGGAGCACTCTGGCTGCACTTCTTCCAACACAGATCTGCTAGTTCTATGGGAAGCCCATGGCACTTTCAATACTCTCCTCCCACACCATAACTCTAAAGCATCAATTCTTGTACAGTCTTCCTTATTCACTGTCCAGCTTTCACATGCATATCATGAAAAACACAAACATAAACTGAATATATGGGCATGTCATTCTGAAAGAGGTAGGCGTATTAGAGTCTCCCAAAGACAAAACTATATTGTTAAAATCAAATTCCTAATTGTTACTGTTAAGTGCCTTCAAGTACCTTTCAACTCATAACAACCCTGGATAGTGTTTCTAAGGAGGAGCTGGTGGGTTTGAACCACCAACACTGCAATTTAGCCCAGTGCATAATGTTGCAGCGCACCACACCAGGATTTCAAATTCCTAATTATACATCTGAAAATGAAATTTTTTATAATGCAAAATGCATGCAGTGGTATTTCTTAATGGAAACACACAAAAACAATTTCTCAAACCAAGGGACAAAACATATGATAAAGAGAAAAAGAGAACAGACCAAGGAGGAGGCTTCAAAAACTGAACTAAGTGGAACAAAAAAGATGGCGGATTGGGTGGAAGTGCAGTAAAGAGCTCCATCAACAACAACACAGAATACCCCACACCAAGCAGGCTCAGGGGATGGTTCCAAAACTCTGAACCACATGTGAAGGAATATTTAGAAGAGTCGAAGGCTTACAGCTGGGGAATTTGTGGCAGAAGCAAGAAATCTATTGCTTTCAAGTCCGGAACACTCGGTTGCTCCAGGAGCTGCCATGTTGGGTGAGATCAAGTTGGGGAAGGATCAGAGCAGCCAAAGATGCCTGGCAGAACTGCAGATATATATGTGTGGACATTCTTTTCTTTTGGTAGCTGTTCGTTGGTCCCTTGCTGTCTGCACACCTCCATTCTGGTGACTATAGGGGTAACTGAGCTACTGAGCACTCCAGCCACCCCACCCTCAGAGGGTTCTACTTCGCATGTTCACAGATCTCCTTGAAATTTAAAGAGATGGTTTCCAATTAAAACCAAACGGCCACAGCCAGCCCTGAACTGTTTAC